AAAATAATTATTAATTATTTGATAAACCCTGATACACAAGGTACAATAAATAAAATTTTCTTTTTAAATAATAATTTTTCAAATTATTTCAATTATCTTTCACAATACTTAATAAACTATTATTAATATTATTTTTTCAATACAAATTACTAAAACATTAAATTATATAATTATTTTTAATAAATTATAAATAAAATAAATATAAATTAATAAATAAATATTAATTAATTTATATTGATTTGCACAAAAATCTTTTCAATGTAAATGAAATACTTTACTAAATAAGCTTTAACTTGTCATTCTAGATACACCTTCCGGTACATCTACTATGTTACGACTTATCTTATCTTATACTATTTTCAGACAGGCAGTTAATCGAGCAATTATCCAAGCTTTCTCAATTAATGCACTAATTAAGATCGATTTGCCATACAAAATTTCAATTATTAATTGCTCGATTGGTAATTAATTGAATGTTTAATCTAGTAAAAACTCCAATGCAACTCTGTTAGGTAAGTTCGTTTTCTTAGTTTTGGTGTGTTCAGTGTTAAATGACAATCAGCTGTTTGACATAATTTTATTATTTTCTTTTTGGAACCAGCAAACATCAAAAACCAAAAAAATTGTATTTCAACTGCAGGATGCAGAACAATCTGAATGGTGAGTAAATAAACACAAATGGTTATGTGTAATGTTTATTAAAAACACATATGTATGTATTTCAGTTCGATTAGCTCCAAAACCAAGAAAGAGGAGACTGGCTTGGGCTGAGGATGGCGAAGTGGCCATTCTTGATTTGTGGGAAGAGCGCGTTGCTGATCTCCGCGGTGCACGGAAGAATGGCCACATCTACGCGGAGATGGCGAACGAGCTGGCAAAGTTGGGCCACAACTACAGCGCCCGGGATGTGCAGGTGAAGTTGGCGAACTTCACGCAACGCTACAGGTACGAAGAAATAAAAGAATAATATTCAAAACCACTAAAAATTTAATTCGTTAATAGAAAAGAGAAATTGGCTATGGGACCTTCTGGTGGATCACCCTCAACGTGGCCTTTATACGCAAGGGTGCACCAGATAATCGGTGGATTTAAGGCCAATATGTTTTGCGAGCTGACGCTTGAAAACATCAGCGGTATGTATGCGTTTTTGGAATGTGCCTTACTAAAAGCCGTAATGTGTTTAGTGGAGATATTTGTTTTGTAGCAGAGTGACGCGTCTGTGTACATGCTAGAACTATCAGCTCGTTTAGTTGCAGGTTTAAGTGCGAAGGTACACTTCGATTTTGCACGAGCACAGACATACGGTGGTGCTTCAAAACAAATGTTCCACTAAAACTTAAGTAGATACAAATAACTAAACCGTACCCAGGGTTGGCACCTCATGGATCCGCAAATTATTATTTACTACGATCGTAGCAAAGTGCCAACGCTGACCGTACCCTATCTTTTTAACTTCGATACAAGCACATATGAACATATGTATTTATTTAATGCTGATTTTTTTTATTTCATTCTTATTTGTTTTTTTTTCTTTTAAACAGAATCCGATATAGCATCCCAGCCATCACCACTGACCCCAATATTGCCGTCATCACTCAGCCCAACATTTTCCTCACCACTGGCATCACCTCTTCCTGCTGTGCCAACCACACCGCTGCCTACACCGTCACCGCCGCTGTCATCACCTCTCACTCCTCTGCCAACCACACCGCTCCCCACACCGTCACCGCCGCTATCATCGCCGTCGTCACCAATGCCTAGCAGCTCAGCTTCTGCGGTTGAGCCTAAAAGAAGGAAAGTAATCGGCACTTTACAAAAGAAAGTATTAGATAAATTTGATGGGTTGTCAGCGGAGATAAGCCAACATATACAGAGGAGTGAGGAAAATGAAAAAGAGTGGATGAAGATAGAGAAAGACAAAGCTGACACACTGAGGGAGATAGCGAATGATAACAAAGAATTAAAAGTTGGCATTTTATCATTTTTAAATAGAAATTAATAACACTGTACAGCACTCGGCTGGGTATTGGACCAAACCAACTTTTTTAAAGAGATTGAGCCATAAGTAAAAAAAAGTTAGTTCTCCGTTTTATTATATATTCCGTTTCATCCGTTTTATTATATATTACAGGTGCTATAACGGGTCAAAGTCAGATGTTCGAAAAATGAAAAACTTAATATTTCAGACAATTTTGAACCGATTTTAAAAGGATTCACATCGTTGTAAAAGTTATTAAATCCGCTTTCTTTCGATATGCATATTTGTATACTTCGTATATAAAATTTTTAGAAAAAACACATTTAAATGAAAAAATACCTTTTTTTATAAAAAAAAAATATTTTAAAGAAAAATATGACTAACCGATTTTTTAAAAATTGGCGTCGTTGTAAAGGTGATTAAATCCCCTTTCTTCTGATATGCATATTTCTAAAAATCGGTTAGTAATTTTTTTGTTCAAAATACTTTTTTATAAAAAAAGTTCTTATTTCCTTTAAATGTGACTTTTCTCAAATTTTTTAGTATAAAGTATACAAATATGCATATCAGAAGAAAGGGGATTTAATCGCCTTTACAACAATATAAATTGTTTGCAATATAAGGAAATTAATTTTTCGGAGACCTGAACTTTGACCCCTTATATAGGTAATATAGGTCTGCACAAAAAAATTGATTTAACATTTAAATAAAAGGAGGACTACGCCTATATTTTTTAGGTTTTTAGTTATTTACATACATGCAATAATTTAATATAATTTTTTACCAAAGGTCCTATTTCAAACTTCGAAGGCCCATATCTCGATTTCGGAGGCTAACTTCGAAAAACGGAGAAATCACTTTTTTTTCATATGACTCACAAAAAGTATATACAGTGGACGGTATTTTTATAGATAAATAACAAAAGAAATTTAGCTCGAAAAAAAAAAATGTAAATGAATTAAATTAACAAATAAAAATTGTACTCACTAAAATAATTGCATAATCCTTGCCTTATTTCTTCAGCTGAGGGTTGATTGTCTCCAACTATCGTGACATATTCAGGATTTTCGAGATTTCTGTTCACTTCTTGCAATCTCTCCAACCACATGTCATTTATAGTGTCGTTCATTTCATTTAAATAATTGTGCAAGACGCAGCAGGCTCTAATAATGATGGGTGCCTTCCCAATTCGGTTGTCTAAACCTTTTCCAACACGACGGAATCGTCCTTTCAAGTGGCCAAATGCATTCTCAACTACTCTTCTGCACTTTGAAAGCTTATAATTATAGAGTTTTTGTGTTTCAGTTAAGGCCATTGAAAACGCGTATGGCTTCATTAAGGAGGTGGAAAACCGAAACGCAGAATCTCCAATAATGCATATAGGCATTTGTACTCCACCTATTTCTTTCTTACTGACCTTCAGTAATTCGTTCTCCTCCATTACTCGCTTCATTAACGATGCATTATATATCTGCGAGTCATTGCATCGTCCAGGAGCACCAATGTTCACATATAAAAACCGATATCTGAACATATATAGAAATAATTAATACATGCTTTTTAGAAAAAAACAACAGGATGAAAGTTAAATAACCTGTAATCCACTACAGCTAGTAGAACAATGGAATACCATCCTTTATAGTTGTGGTAGTCGGTTGCATCGGCTGGATTCGGCCTAACTTCGATGTGGCACCCATCTGAATATATATGTATGCACGTATATCTTTGTTTTTATATAAATTAGTTGCATTTTTAACTTTCTTACCAATTGCTCCAAGGCATTGGGGAAAGCCGAGACGGTCAAAACCATCAACACAGTCTTTTAAAGTTTGTGGAGTCGGTGGTAATTTCTTTATGTATTGCGCTGACAAAGCTTGCCAGACTTCCTCGCAAAACTCCCACAAGATTGTGCACACGGTCGATATTCCAACACCAAATAGTTCGGAAACCACTCTGTACTCTCCAGACGATCCCAGCGTAAATAGAGCTATCGCAACGCGTTTTTGCAATGGAATCGCGTTGCGCCAGTTTGTGTCGGCTTTGTGCAGGTTTTTGAGGAAGCCACAGAGTGTTTCAAAACTAGTGCGGTTCATGCGGAAGTGCGTCTTAAAGAAATGGTCATCGTTGCAATTGCAATTAACTTCCCAGAAAGAAGACTGCCGATTCTGCAATAGAGGAAGTATCATTTATAAAAGGACAAGAACTGATTACTTATAATCTGATTTACCAATTTCCAGAGGGATCTCTGAGTAGCGTTCCTCTGCAGTAACCCGTAAAGCAATAGCTGCTGTCTTCGCAAATGTTGCAAAATTATGAAGTTTTTTTCTTTTCTTTTTTTATATAAGGCCATTGAACTTGCGTAGCTTGCCAGCACTGACTGCAAAACTTGTATATTTGCAGTATACGCAAGAAAAAGTTCGCTTAAACACTTATTGTTTTCCATTTTACCAATTTATTTTAAATAAACAAAAATTCTTTTAAGACAGCTGACAGCCACTCGTTAATCGAGCAGCTGATTGTGTGTGAAACACAAAAATCTAATACTTAATTAAAAACTTAATTGACTCAATTAATTTTCTGTCTGAAAACAGTATTAAGAATAAGAGCGACGGGCGATATGTGCATATTTTAGAGCTAAAATCAAATTTTTAATCTATAAAATTTTACTATCAAATCCATTTTCATTAAATATTTCAAATTTAAATTCACTTAAATAATTTTATTGTAACCCATTTCTACTTAAATATAAGCTACACCTTGATCTGATATAAATTTTAATAAAAGTTATTATTCTTATAAAATATTCATAATACTACCTTAGTGTTTATATTTACATTTTAAATAATAGGGTATCTAATCCTAGTTTATTCACACAATTAATAAGCTTTAATTTAACTAAAATAAAAATTTATAAATTTAAAATTTCACCTAATAAAATTACAATTATTTTATTTATATAAAAATTATAAAATAATACATAACATAGATATTCTGAATTGCCTATTTTAACAAATTTCTAATATGGCAGATTAGTGCAATGGATTTAAGCTTCATATATAAAGTATTTTACTTTTATTAGAATATTTATAAATAAATGGCAACATGAGGTGCTCTTGGCCTTCAAAATAGTGCCCCTCCCCTTATAGAACAACTTACATTCTTCCATGATCATACACTTATA